ACGATTATTGATGTGAGGTAGGACAGGGTATATCTACATCATGTTTTGTGTGAAATTAATATTTTTTGTATTGCTGATTATAATTGAATGTTAATGAAATGTGTACTTTCTCTTATTTCATTATCTCTCAGTGGGATGTTTCAAAAGTCTGTGGGCTAGGTGGAGCAGTTAATAAAATTTGGCAGTCTTATAATTAGGTCATAAGCGGGAGCTACTGAATTAAATAAGGTCTGGACATTTTTGTTTGTTGTTTTCCAATATGTTTTTTCAGATAACCACACACAACCCACCTATTATAATGGTTATATAGGGTTTTTATTTTGATTGTAGGGGGTTTTAACGGGTCAGAGATGATAAGTCTTAAAGGAACACACATGGAACTTTCTGAAGTTTTTTCTTTTATGAGTGAGTTTTGGGTAAATGCGTGATTTCTTTTGAGAATAAATGTAATTTTGACTTACTGTACACTTGGGATAAAAAAAAGTATGACATTTTCGACTGTTGTTAATGATTAGTCTATACTATAGAATGGAACACTTCTTTGAAGGGTTTCAATGACCTCTGAACTCTGTGCTGACTTTCTAGTGTGAATTGATCACCCACACTGGAAAGCCAAGGAGCATGGGATGAGGGATTTAAGGTGATTTATTATACCGAGTTGAGGGTAATTTATAATGCTGATAATTATGAAGAAGTTTATAATTTGGCAATAGTCATATCTATGATTCTGACCATAATAAGGTCAGAGTGAGAGAGCTAGTCCTGAATGAGGAACACCTGGCGCTAGTCAAGTTTGATATTACTTGAATTACTTTATGGGATACAATTGAGTTAAGGTATTGTCAAATGTTGTCATTTTAATTTCATTTATTATTTTGGTTTAACAGGCAAGTTTTTTTTTTTTTTACGCATGAATCACGATGTGAGTCATGTGTACAAAGGAGGGAAGTACTGCTCGCATGAGGATTTTTAGTAAATATGCACATTGTATTAAGAATATGAGCAGTAGTAATTAATGTGTTATGGGATAGATTAAATGTTTTAGGTGAAAATGTATTTGTGGTATAAGGCAGGATGTAGAGGAGGCCTGTCTATGAAACTAGTGACCTATAACAAGATGCAAAAATGTGCACTTCCTAATATCAAGGCTTCTCCTGACTGATAAGAAGACCGGGTATAGTAGCATACGGTATCACACCTAACAATGTTGTTGAGACTTTCTTCCCACAGGTGAAGGCTTCTCCCCACAGGAAGATGGCACCGCCACTGGAGAGAATTGTTTTCTTTTGTTTCTTTGCAGCAGGGACTCTCAACTTCCCTATTGGTATGCTGAAAGAAGGACACACTCCACAGAGCAATGTTGATAAATAGAGAAGGACTCTGCATGATCCTAGACCATAGTGAAGGTAGAAGGGTCAGATCTAAAAGGACCATACATCGTCACCCAGTCTACACCAACGGTTGTATGGACAGAGGGGAGATCGACCTGGTATCATCTAAACCAATGCAACAGAGTACTACGAGGAAACCGCCAACCTAGAGATGAGGGAGCTGAGGATGCTGGAGCTGACAAGGATCAGATGATGGGAGACGATGGCAAGGGGAATGCTACTGATGAGCTACGTCTTCTGGCTGATTCCCTCGGCGGAAGGACAGACCTCCAAGAACTTCAAGATCTTCCAGAATTTCAAGAATCACCTGACTTTCACACCATTCATTTCTCTGTCTGTGGAGGGTTTCCCTAACAGAAATTGGGAAGTATATTAGAAATTGGCATTAAGAATAATTGGTCAAACATAATAATTTGTCATATAGTCAATGCTTATATGGATTTCTTGGATTAGGAAGGAACTCAATTAAACTGTTATGTTCTGTCTTCTATTGAGGTAAATACAGATGCTGTCTTGATGCATAGCAGGGACAATTTGGCCTATAATGGTGTGAACCTAAAAAAGAAACAACCTCTGAACCGGCTGAAGATGAACATCAGAGGCGTTGAAGACGTTCCTGTACAACACCACTTCTACCTGCAACCGGTCTACAACAGCCAATCGAAGCTTTCAAAGGATTTCCTCTCATGTTTTTATCTCGAGGGAGTGGGACAGGAGTCCACCATTGAGTGAGAATGGAGAAAGATCTGTTCAAATACAACATTTCTGATGTTGTTGGTATAATGGTTGGCAAATGGACAAGACACAATGGGGTGTAGAGATGGTGGTGACTCTGATGAGACATTGTTGGGACATTGTCATGGGGAATTCATTTTGAACTAAGAAGCGGTCTGAAGAACATAATGAAGAGATGCCAGAAGATGTAAGTGCCGGGGAAGGAAGGGGTTGGTTAGGTGTGTCAATATTACATTTGGATTTATATAAAAATTTGCAAATTTGGGTGTGAGGTATATACACTGCTAAATTAATAGTACTAGGAATGCATTGAGAGGATGATCTGTATTTATTCTCAGGATGAGGAAGGTCATAATATAATTATGGATATTTATACTGTATGTTAATAGAAGTGTACATTCTGACAGTTGTAATGGGTGCTAAAGTTGAGGATTTTAACTTTGATTGATAAGGACCAGGTGAATCAATAAGAATTGTCATTCTAAATTTGGTTGAGATAAGTCATTTGGTTTTGGTTATAATTTATAAGATGACTGAGTGATTAAAGTCAATCATTAGTATATATTAGTAACTAAAGATGTTGAAACTATTTTCAGCAGGAAGGGTATTGCTTGTAAAAATGCGAGATAACTGTCTTAAATACAGTGAGGGAAAAAAGTATTTGATCCCCTGCTGATTTTGTATGTTTGCCCACTGACAAAGAAATGATCAGTCTATAATTTTAATGGTATGGTTATTTGAACAGTGAGAGACAGAATAACAACAACAAAAACAGAAAAACGCATGTCAGAAATGTTATAAATTGATTTGCATTTTAATGAGGGAAATAAGTATTTGACCCCCTCTCAATCAGAAAGATTTCTGGCTCCCAGGTGTCTTTTATACAGGTAACGAGCTAGATTAGGAGCACACTCTTAAAGGGAGTGCTCCTAATCTCAGCTTGTTACCTGTATAAAAGACACCTGTCCACAGAAGCAATCAATCAATCAGATTCCAAATGGGCTACAAGACCATCGCCAAGCAACTTGGTGAGAAGGTGACAACAGTTGGTGCGATTATTCGCAAATGGAAGAAACACGAAATAACTGTCAATCTCCCTCGGCCTGGGGCTCCATGCAAGATCTCACCTTGTGGAGTTGCAATGATCATGAGAATGGTGAGGAATCAGCCCAGAACTACACGGGAGGATCTTGTCAATGATCTCAAGGCAGCTGGGACCATAGTCACCAAGAAAATAATTGGTAACACACTACGCTGTGAAGAACTGAATTCCTGCAGCGCCCGCAAGGTCCCCCTACTCAAGAAAGCACGTATACAGGCCCATCTGAAGTTTGCCAATGAACATCTGAATGATTCAGAGGAGAACTGGGTGAAAGTGTTGTGGTCAGATGAGACCAAAATCGAGCTCTTTGGCATCAACTCAACTCGCCGTGTTTGGAGGAGGAGGAATGCTGCCTATGACCCCAAGAACACCATCTCCACCATCAAACATGGAGGTGGAAACATTATGCTTTGGGGGTGTTTTTCTGCTAAGGGGACAGGACAACTTCATCGCATCAAAGGGACGATGGACGGGGCCATGTACCGTCAAATCTTGGGTGAGAACCTCCTTCCCTCAGCCAGGGCATTAAAAATGGGTCGTGGATGGGTATTCCAGCATGACAATGACCCAAAACACACGGCCATGGCAACAAAGGAGTGGCTCAAGAAGAAGCACATTAAGGTCCTGGAGTTGCCTGGCCAGTCTCCAGACCTTAATCCCATAGAAAATCTGTGGAGGGAGCTGAAGGTTCGAGTTGCCAAATGTCAGCCTCGAAACCTTAATGACTTGGAGAAGATCTACAAAGAGGAGTGGGACAAAATCCCTCCTGAGATGTGTGCAAACCTGGTGGCCAACTACAAGAAACGTCTGACCTCTGTGATTGCCAACAAGGGTTTTGCCACCAAGTACTAAGTCACGTTTTGCAGAGGGGTCAAATACTTATTTCCCTCATTAAAATGCAAAACAATTTCTAACATTTTTGACATGTGTTTTTCTGGATAATTTTGTTGTTGTTATTCTGTCTCTCACTGTTCAAATAAACCTACCATTAAAATTATAGACTGATCATTTATTTGTCAGTGGGCAAACTTACAAAATCAGCAGGGGATCAAATACTTTTTTCCCTCACTGTATTATGGTTAAAACAGCAATACGTTATGGTAATGTCTTAGGATACACTTATATTATATATTTCGAGTAGAAACTTTTGAATTTACTGTTTGAAACATGTAAGTTAATGTAAGGATTGTGACTGATATCATGAACATGTTGATTATTAGGTTACCGTATTCACATATTAGTCACTATATACATTTGAAGTATTTGGAGGTATTGATATGGGACTATGTATTACCAAAGAGGTAGAGTGATACATATCTCTGTTGCTAGGCAATAACTTAATTGGTTCCTATCATGGGGTTGGTATTTTTGACATGGGAATGTTTATGCTATTTTCATCTGATCTGACCTTTGGTATAATTCCTCAATCCTAAATAGTGCAATAATGCAATGCAATCTGCAACCCTTTGAACGTATGTGTTTCTTGTGTGTGTGTGTGTGTGTGTGTGCATGTGTGTGTGTGTGCGTGTGAGTGTGTGTAAATTAAAGGGTCTGTCTATCCCAGTAGTCTGCATATTAGATGCAGTAGTTGGCGCACCTCTCCAATCTCTGATAGTTCTAGGTGTGTTTTGCCAGAGGTTACCTCAGCAGATGTAGGCTGATGATCTGAATGATACGTGTTGTGGACTGCATCATGTGGTGCACTTCTCTGAAGGGCAGTGTTCTGCCCGACCCTAGAGTAGTGGTCAGTGCTGTGCTGTGATGGGCCGGGTCTAGTGGTGTTGTGTTGTGTTGTGATGGGCCGGGTCTAGTAGTGCTGTGTTGTGATGGGCCGGGTCAAGTAGAGCTGTGTTGTGATGGGCCGGGTCTAGTAAAGCTGTGTTGTGATGGGCCGGATCTAGTAGAGCTGTGTTGTGATGGGACGGGTCTGGTCGTGCTGTCCTGAGGCGGGTCTGGTCTGGTAAATCTGTGCTGTGTTGGGCCCGGTCTTGTAGAGCTGTGCTGTCATAAGCCGTGTCTGGCTCTTCTCTCCTGGGGATGGTGGGGGTACTGTTGTTTCAGAAAGTGGAGCGGGGGGCCTCTGCTGCTGGGGTGATGGGTGTGTGTGTCCCTGCCAAGTGTTGTATCCTTAAGGTCCTTAGCAAAAGTTCTGACACTGTCCTGATCAAGATGTATATTATCGTATAAGTGTTCATATGTCAGAGTGGGATGGTGAGCCATTCTAACGTTGAGCAGTGCGGCACAGTCCACAGTGATCTGTTTATTTATTTTGTCGATCAACTGTCCTGGGAAGTATTTTCTTGGTAGGAGGGTGAACACAACTACAGTTGAAGTCGGAAGTTTACATACACCTTAGCCAAATACATTTCAACTCAGTTTTTTTTTTTTTTTTTTTACAATTCCTGACATTTAATCCTAGTAAAAATTCCCTGTCTTAGGTCAGTTAGGATCACCACTTTCTTTTAAGAATGTGAAATGTCAGAATAATAATAGAGAGAATGATTTATTTCAGCTTTTATTTCTTTCATCACATTCCCAGTGGGTCAGAAGTTTACATACACTCAATTAGTATTTGGTAGCATTGCCTTTAAATTGTTTAACTTGGGTCAAACGTTTCGGGTAGCCTTCCACAAGCTTCCCACAATAAGTTGGGTGAATTTTGGCCCATTCCTCTTGCTCGCACACACTTTTTCAACCTGCCCACACATTTTCTTTAGGATTGAGGTCAGGGCTTTGTGATGGCCACTCCAATACCTTCACTTTGTTGTCCTTAAGCCATTTTGCCACAACTTTGGAAGTATGCTTGGGGTCATTGTCCATTTGGAAGACCCATTTGCGACCAAGCTTTAACGTCCTGACTGATGTCTTTAGATGTTGCTTCAATATATCCACATCATTTTCCTTTCTCATGATGCCATCTATTTTGTGAAGTGCACCAGTCCCTCCTGCAGCAAAGCACCCCCACAGCATGATGCTGCCACCCCCGTGCTTCACGGTTGGGATGGTGTTCTTCAGCTTGCATGTCACCCCCTTTTTCCTCCAAACATAACGATTGTCATTATGGCCAAACAGTTCTATTTTTGTTTCATCAGACCAGAGGACATTTCTCCAAAAAGTACGATCTTTGTCCCCATGTGCAGTTGCAAACCCTAGTCTGGCTTTTTTCTGGCGGTTTTGGAGCAGTGGCGTCTTCCTTGCCGAGTGGCCTTTCAGGTTATGTCGATATAAGACTTGTTTTACTGTGGATATAGATACTTTTGTACCGTTTTCCTCCAGCATCTTCACAAGGTCCTTTGCTGTTGTTCTGGGATTGATTTGCACTTTTCGCACCAAAGTACATTAATCTCTAGGAGACAGAACGCGTCTCCTTCCTGAGCGGTATGACGGCTGCGTGGTCCCATGGTGTTTATACTTTCATGCTATTGTTTGTACAGATGAACATGGTACCTTCATGCGGAAATTTCTCCCAAGGATGAATCAGACTTGTGGAGGTCTACAATTATTTTTTTGAGATCTTGACTGATTTCTTTTGATTTTCCCAATGTATCAAGCAAAGAGGCAATGAGTTTGAAGGTAGGTCTTGAAATACATCCACAGGTTCACCTCCAATTTACTCAAATTATGTCAATTAGCCTATCAGAAGCTTCTAAAGCCATGACATCATTTTCTGGAATTTTCCAAGCTGTTTAAAGGGACATTCAACTTAGTGACCGACTGGAATTGTGATACAGTGAATTATAAGTGAAATTGTCTGTAAACAATTGTTGGAAAAATTACTTGTGTCATGCACAAAGTAGATGTCCTAACCGACTTGCCAAAACTATAGTTTGTTAACAAGACATTTGTGGAGTGGTTGAAAAACAAGTTTTAATGACTCCAACCTAACTGTATGTTAACTTCTGACTTCAACTGTATATTGGTTGTCGGGAACATAGCTTGTGCCCGTTCTGCCACTCTTCTCACTGCCCCAGATACATTTTCACCTTTAGCACGAAGGTTGTTTATGCCAGTGTGGATGATGATGTTGTCAGGGGTGTCAATACTGGTCTGACTGTGTAGCTGCATTGCACTCTCAGTTGTAGGACACCAGAACTTATACACCTGGTGTCTAGGGAATAATCTTTCCTGGACCAAGAACTTCCCATTTGAATCGATAAGGATTGCAGTTGTGGGTGATTGTCTGGGTGGAGCAGACTGGGAGGCTGGAGCAGACTGGGAGGCTGGTATTCTGACTTGGGCTGGAGCAGACTGTGAGGCTGGTAGGTTGACTTGGTCTGGAGCAGACTGGGAGGCTGGTATTCTGACCTGGGCTGGAGCAGACTGTGAGGTTGGTAGGTTGACCTGGTCTGGAGCAGACTGGGAGGCTGGTAGGCTAACCTGGGCTGGAGCACACTGGGAGGCTGGTTGGCTGACCTGGGCTGGAGCAGACTGGGAGGCTGGTAGGTTGACCTGGGCTGGAGCAGACTGGGAGGCTGGTGCAGTGTCATCAGGCTGTGTGGTGGAGGCCATGCTGGTTATGCTGGTCTCAGGTTCTGCCTCTGTTGTACCAAGCTGGTGGACATGTTCTCTAGATGCAGAGGACATAATGACTAGCTGCTGGTTGAGGGTGTCAATGTACCACTCTCTCTGCTCTAGCTCCTCTCTTGCTCAGATGGTATCGGAGGTCATCATTTGTCTGACTCAGTTTGTCCATTCTGCTTTCTAATTTAGCAATAGATGCTCTGCTCTCCTCCCTGAACTGTTTAATCTCTTCTTTTAGTTTCTGGACAGTGTCATCCTCTTGAAGCTTGTTCTCTCTGAGTTCTATGACCTCTGCTTCAACTAGAGAGAGGGTGTTGTGGAAACATTGCATAGTAGGTGTTCTTGGTGTTGTAGGCATGTCCTTAGCTCTGTCTGCTGCAGGTGAGGTAGGTAGAGGGACACAGAGGGCTTCTTGCTGGGTCACAGAGGCTGTTGGGGGTGTTGGGGCCTGCTTTTCTCCATTAAAGCTTCTACTTTTAGGGTAGAAAACACATTCTCAAAAGCCTGGAGGCTTGAATCATTGCCTTGCATCAATACAGTTCCATTATTGTATAAGTTGACTATTTGATATGTGTTGCTCTGGTCAGCTTCTTCAAAAATGCTGATCTGACAGTCTTGGCTGATGCCTCTCTTTTTTGAGAAACAGAAATGGTTGCAAATAACCCTTTTCCATATGTGTCTTCGTTTGGTATTACATATTAAAATTGCTCTTGTTTTGCAACTGGTAAGATCTGCAAACAGGCAGTCATGGTTCTGTCCCATCATCAAACCTTTGAAACCTTTCTTTGCTTTCTCCGTTTGGATATCTGGTGGGTAAACAATTTCCATAGCAATGCTGGTGATGTTGGAAACAATGTTGCAATATAAGCCTACCTTTTCCAAATAGCTTTGTTTCTTGTATTATTGTCTCTAGTGTCTTTAGAGAACTGTTTTACTTTGATGTCCTTTGTCTTCTGTCCTTCTTTTGTCTTTCTATTGTGTTGTTGACTAGCTATTTTTTTGTTAGCTAGCTAGCTTCTTTCAGGAGAGTCCCTAGCAACTGCTTAGCAACTGGTAAACCATCCAGCTAGCTAAGATAACTGTACGATTTTAGAAAAATATATACTTTTTCACAAGCCTATCTTCTTCATTTGTTGCTTGTTTTGTCTCCCATTCAGTCTTCCAATGTACTTCACTCTAAAAAACATGTACATTTCAATATTTGTAGGAGCTCGTTTATTTCAGCAGCTGGGGAATGGGTAAAAGGGAACACACCACCCCCCCAGCGGGGCAAACCTATATCTTCTGTCTCTCTTCTTCTTGTCGTCTGCTGTCTTCTTGTCTATCTCTATCTGTCTGTCGGTCGTCAGTATGAGTGCTGGCGGGAGAGAGAGAGTAATGACGATCACTACGCTGCTAAGAGCAACGAATGAGAAGAGCTCGTCTCTCTATCTCTATCTCTCTCTCTCTTCTCTCTCTCTCTCTCTCTCTCTCTGTCTGTCTGTCTGTCTTTGTGTCACTAAGCCTCTCATGGCTTTTAGACCTAGACAGCCCAATGCTTCAAAAAGCATTTGGCTGTCCTTGACAAATTCAATTAATTAGTGAGCGCGTTAGCGGGGTGTGTAGATGTGTAAGAGTTGATTTGTGTGTGTGTGTTTGTGTGTGAGCAGCTGAGGCGACCTGCAGGCCCCTGGTCCTGTGTTAATGTGTTAATTCATTAGTGTTCATCTCAGTATCATTGTGCCAGAGCAGCGCTTACCAGCCCTCTCTGTTCTCCGCTATTCTTCTACCTTTTGACCTCCTCACCACTCCTGTTGCCTGCCCGTGGGATGCTGGAGGAGGGGGAGAGAAGGGGGAGGGAAGACACCAGCTGCCACCAGCTGCAGTGCTCCCCTCTCTGGCAGAGGAGATACTCCAGTCCCAGGCTTCGCAAGGCCTTCAGGCCCCTCAGGGTGGAGGAGTCTGCACTGCCACCAGTCCCACCTGTCCTGCCCCAGGCTGCAGTCTGACACTCACACACACACACACACACACACACACACACACACACACACACACACACACACACACACACACACACACACACACACACACACACACACAAACACAGAGACACAAGCACACAAACACACACACACACACACATTCATACACACACACACACACACACACACACGCACACTTATGAACACTCACACATACATACAAATGCACACAAAGACACAAGTTCACAAACATCCATACATTTGCAAATAAGCCTTCACACATGCTGGTGTGAGGTGTGACTGACTGAGAGAGGGGTAGTATGTTAGTGAATGAGGGGTAGTATGTTAGTGAATGAGAGATAGTATGTTAGTGAATGAGAGGTAGTATGTTAGTGAATGAGAGGTAGTATGTTAGTGAATGAGAGGTAGTATGTTAGTGAATGAGAGATAGTATGTTAGTGAATGAGAGGTAGTATGTTAGTGAATGAGAGGTAGTATGTTAGTGAATGAGAGGTAGTATGTTAGTGAATGAGAGGTAATATGTTAGTGAATGAGAAGTAGTATGTTAGTGAATGAGAGGTAATACGTTAGTGAATGAGAGGTAGTATGTTAGTGAATGAGAGGTAGTATGTTAGTGAATGAGAGGTAGTATGTTAGTGGTCCTCTGTAGCTCAGCTGGAAGAGCACGGCGCTTGTAAC